TCCCAGTATCGAAAACCCATACTCAAAAAATTGACCCACAAATCATATAGAACATAAGGAGATATTAACAGAATTTTAAAATATATTAAGATAAAAATATTTAATAATTAATTTTAAATTGATTTTAAATTGATTTTAAATTGATTGTTAATTGCTTATTAATTGATTATAATAATAAAAATAGATTCAATCTATATATTCAAGTAATTAATAATTGATTGTAAATCAGTTGATAATTGATTCAATGTAAATTATATAAATACTTACTTTATTATTAAATTCAAGAATAATTTCAGTATTAAATTGATTTTAAATTGATTTTAAATTGATTTTGAATTGATTGTAGAATTGATGATAAATAATTAAGTGGTTTCAAATTACAAGAAAAGATGTATTGAGCGAGGTCAGGTAGTAGCACAGGCCACATTTGTGAGGTCAGCTTACATAACGAGGTCAAGTGACGCACTTAGCGAGGTCGGGTGTATACAGAAAACTTGACCTTGCTAAGTGCGTCACTTGACCTTGTTATGTAATTATGACTCTGACCTTGCACAATACAGTAATAATTAGTTGGTAATTGACTTTCAATCTTTCAATCACTCACTCATTCATTCACTCAACCTATTAATCAATCAAATTTTTCATTCTTCAACTAAAAAAGCAGTGAAATAGCAGATATGACAGCTCTAGCTCAGATAGTAAGTGAAATATTGATAAAAAAGACAGAAAATCTGATGATTTTTGATGAAAAAAATGAAGAAGCTGATTTATGTTATTTTATAGTCAAGTTACCAGCTATATCTTCAAGCAGTGACAGCAGAAGATCTTACTCTCCCAGAATATGAAACAGTAATTAATTGAATATTGCTTAGAAATTGATTTTCAAAGCATGTATAACTGATTCATAATCAATTAGATGAACGGGCAAATCCATATAGAATATGAAGAGGTGTTTTGCAGAATTCTGAGATGTATCAAGATGAAGGTATTTAACAATTGATTTTGAATTGATTTCAGATTGATTCTAAATTGATTGCTAATTAATTATAGTATCAATTCTCATCAACAAATAATCTTCATCATTATATTGACATGCATGAGAGGATCTGGGTGCTGAAGCAGCAGAGAGGTCATGTCAAGCAGAAAGTGATTAATGAGGCTGTTAGTAAGTATTTATGAATTGATTGACAACTGATTTTTATATGATTATTCTCAACTGATTGACAAATGCTTTAGAGTTTTACAATAATGTCACAGCAAACCTGTTCACTCCAGGAGAAAAGAACAAGACAACATTATCAAAGTTGCCTTAGCACAAAGATGGCAGTGGGGTAGGAAATCATACTTTGAAAGTCAATTAATTGATTGTGAATTGATTGCTAACTGATTGTCAGCCACTTTTAAAAGAAATGAAAAAAATGGTCAGAGACATGAGGGTAGCAGTTCCCTGTGAAGACTGTGCGAAGGCGGAAATTGATAGGTCAATTTCCAATTGATTCCCAATCAATTGTCAATCAATTGCTAATTGATTGAGTAGATTGCTGTCATGATGCAGAGATTTGTGATGTTTTTAGTTTTTTTAATTGCAATCATCTCATGACTCATGAAGCTTGAGCATTTGAGAATCAATTCTCAATCAGTTCTCAAATGATTTCTCTGTTTTTTCTTTGTTTCTTTTTTTTAGTTTTTTTCTGTTTTTTATTAAATTTCATGGTGTAAAAAATAATTTATTTTATTTTTTTAATTTCTAATTTTAAAATTAATATTAAAAAATAGTATTTAAAAAGTATTCTAATATTATAATAAAAATTTCAACCGCTTCATCACGAACTCGCTCGATTTTTTGAATAAGGAACCCGCTGATAGATCCATCGAAAAGCCCTCGATCATACAAGCATTTTGACCCCATCGCCGACCGCATACCCCGTGTGGTGGTGGAGTTATCCAGCCAAACGTGAACCAGATGTCGTTCAAAACTCCTGTGTGGGATTATCCCCCATTCTCCCCTACCACACCACAACCCCGGGCCAAATTGCCATACAAATTGTAAGGTGAAGAGACCTAGCCATATGCACCAATCTTCTCGATTTTGGGAGATCCCCGATCTGTAGTTGTGAAGATATCTGAGGAGCGACCTCCGCGAAAAACCCTGTCCATCTTTGATGTTCCAAAACACCAATGCAAGTCCCACCCTTGTACCGCCCTTCCTAATCTGGCCAATCCGCGGGAGAAAAATACAAAAA